TGCTGTAACATCATCTTCCTTAAATTCAAGAAAGAGCAAAATCATTTTATGTATTTTCTGTCCAATTTCACAATTAAGATGTAATTGAGCAATATTAGTATAAAGACGCTTAGCAATTAAACAGAAAACATTTCTTTGTTTTAACAATTTTAAATTGTCTCTTTGCAAATAAATACTCTCATCCTTAGCCCTAACTAACTCTGCTTCCTTCTGCTCAATCCAGATCCTTCTCTCCTCACTTTTTGAAGACACCCTGCCGAGTTGGTCAGTTAGATTATAGTTTGCTAAGCGGTTTTGCATGAGGCTACTACTTAGGTTGGAAAATTTAAATTTTAGTTCATTTAATTCTTCTATATATTCAGTTTTGGGAATTTTAAGAGATTCAAGGATAGAATGTACCTTTTTGATCAATCGATCGCAGTCGTTGATCTTCTCACTCACCGGCTTGGCTGCAAAACACTTGTTTTCAGTCATGTTTGGTTCTGTGTCTGCACTATTAGTTGATGGACCAGTAGTGACGATAAAGCATTTTCCACCAGAACCTTCATTCTTTGCCACTAACGCCTTTCCGTGAGTGGGTCTTCTAACCTCTTCGTCTTCAGAGTCTGTTGACCAAACTTCTACACCACCGAACTCATCTTCCCCTGCATTTTCTTGTACAATTAGTGCATTCATCGAGCTGTTGGAAGCCTTTTTCTTCTTGACTTCTTCAAGTTTACGCATGTAATACGCTTCATCATCTTCACCCTCTCTCTTCTCAGCCATCTTTCTTAACATGCAATCTTTGGCAAAGTGGTTCTTGCCGTGACAATAGTTGCAGTCGTATCCAGAGTCTCCTGCAAGCTTGTTTTCCTTTTTCTCTTCCACCTTTTGAGAAGAGACTTTCGGTTCCTCTTTTTCTTTCTCAGAACTATAACTTCCCTGCCAATTTCAGTTCTTATTGATGGGAAATTTTCTTCTTGAAATTTCTTTGGATTTGTTATCATTAAAGCATACTCCTCACTTGTAAGATCACATTCTGACATGTCTGACTCTTCTTCTTCCTCAACAACACTTTTTCCTTTAGAGAAAAGAGCCAGCGATCCCATGCCAGAGACCACTTTCACCTCCTTAGTTACAACACTTTCATGTGACTTTAGTATCCCAACTAGTTTCGCCATTGAGTAGGATTTGAACTATTCATGCGCCTTCACAGTGGAAACCACAACCATCCATTCTGGTCTGAGCCCGTTCATGAATGTAACTTTCTGTTCGATCAGCTTCCTCTCAATTCCATGCTTGATCATCTTACTTAAAAGATGATTGAACCGATCAAAGGTCTGAATGAGCTTCTCTTCAAGTTTCTATTCAAAAACTCCAAATTCTGACAGCAACAAAGTTTGAATGGAGTGTTCTAGATCTTCATCAGTTGAGTAGAGTTCCTTCAACCTATCCCAGATCTCCTTAGCAGTTGTGCATGAGCCTACAAGCCAAAAGGTGTCAGATTGTAAGGCGAATCTTATCATTCGCATGGCTTTAACATTACACAGGATCTTGTCCTTCTCATCTTGTGGCATCTTCTGAACATCTGTCACCAACTTTTTGTAATCCTTCTGTCTATTGACGATTGTGTTTGTTTCTGAATGCACAAATGGTCCAAGAATGATAGCTTCCCAGATGAGATAGCCATTATCTTCAGATCCAACCACATAATCTTCAAAGTGATGAGCCCATACTTCGTAGTCTTGAGTGTAGAGTATGGGAACTCTAGTTGTAGATCTGATGCTGTTTGAGATGTTAATTGGGTTTGTATGCGTATCGTCGTGAGACATGGTGAGCTGTTAGAATCTTACCTGTAAACTTGAAATTAGGGTTTTATAAAAAACTGAGTAGTCTTCGTTAAGAAGACGATGACTTCGATAAAAGCGGAAACCCTAAATATTTGTGAATACAGAAGTAAAGTGTATTGATCACACAATCTCCTGCTCTGATACCAATTGTTAGAACAATGTTCTATTAGGATCGTATGATTCTAAGCAAAATATAAATAAGAACGTAATGAAGAACACAAGTATTTCACTGAATATGTCGAATGATTAATGCAAAGATACCCCAGAAGAGGTCGCTAAAGAACTTCAATTTGTAGAGGTATATTAGGGTTACAAGAATCAACGTAATCGACTATTCTATGTTATACACATACATGCATGCATATATTTATACTAAAACCCTAACAGCTTATCTAGATAAAAGGAAACTATTCTAGATAAATACGGATGGACAAGCCCAATCTGATTACAAAACAAAAGGCACAAGACGCAACACTAAAATACTTAACACTTTACCTAAACATGTCAATCTAATTCAAAGGAATATTACCTTTTCGTATGAAATGAACAAAGGCTTCAAAGGATTATAACCTTATATGACCAAGGCCAGAGTGCAAATATCTTTAGCCCAACACTTAGAAGAAAGTCTTAAAAAGGTAACTGCAAAACCTTACTAAACAAGGAATACCTTAAAAATGAACTGGTCAAGGTTCACGTGAAAAGGCTAGCCAAAGCTTCGACCTAAAAATATAGACCTATGACTCAAAAGAAGGGCGAGAACTGAGTTTACTAGAGCGAGCTCCCGGGCCAAAGCCCAAATACTATGGCTAAGTTATAAGCATATCTAATAAACCAAAAGAGAGTATTCTTTGAGTCTAAAAAGCTTTCCAAGCAAATAGGAATCACACTCAACAAATTCCTCAGGCAAACAATGAAAATTTTCAGTGGAAAGAAACCATAAAACATGCTACCTCAAAGGCCAACACTAAACCACCTGGGATTAGAATTAAAGAAGTTTTAAAACAAAACGACCATAATATAAGAACGACCAGTAAAATTGTATTGTTTTTCGGACATTTCCTAGACTTAAGGAAAGCCACACATGGACATAAAAAAACCATACATTGTTTTAATTTGTTTCTTAAACATAAAAAAACTAAGAAGAGGGAAATGATTACTTACCAAGAGGAGTGGATGATGGCCCGACTTTAAAGGGGATACCTTCAAGTTTATTCTCTTCGGTGTTAGGATCGCTGAATAATTGGTGAAGGCCTTCCATATCAAGTTCACCACGATGAAGAAAGGAAGCAAAGTCTGTCTCCATAAAGGTTTTAACAGAGACATGCATTGAGTGGGTTTGCTCCATGATAGCACTCGACTCTCTATACATAAACATCCTGGTGGAAACTTGCTCCCATACCACCTGTTTGCCACCCTCCATGCTGGAGGCCATGCATTCCACCTTTATTGTTCAAACCCCCAACAAGAAATCAAGGCTCTCAATCACTCGATCCACCACAAGAATTACATCTTTCTGGAGATGCCAAGTCACATCCTCCTCCAAGAACCTTCTCCTTAACTCCTATACAACCAACTGCTCGCCCTATTGCTTCAATTTCCCATCTAACACTTCCTTTTCCACCTCCAAGATCTCCACTGTTGAGACAGGTGCTTCACCTCTACATCCAAACCCATTACATGTTAATCTGCAGACGCCTTCTCCCTAGCCATGAATTCATAACACTCCTCAAACTTATTCTTCTCAGCCTCAAGGACAATCACTCTCTGGCTAAGCTCGTCACGTTCATCCTTGACGATAGTAAATTCTGCCAAATCCAAGCTAACATGACACAGGCGACCAGCCGCAACCACCAAGTAAGGGGAAACTTGAGCCGCCACATATTGCAAGGTGTTAGTTATATGGGAGTTAGAAAGGAGCTCCAATGATTCTATAGTGGCTGGAGGGAACGAGTGACGACTCCACTCACAAGCACCTAAATGTTGCGTAAGTAGAGATTCACGAGTAAGAGTCAACTCCGGGAGACAGACCTTGGGAGCAACCAGAGTTGAACGGGAAGCACCTGCAACAACATTGTCTCTTATTGGAGGGGAAACAAAGCCATGGGTAGTTTGGAATTCAACTTCTGTTTTCCTACCAAACTTACCACCACCAAGGTCGGTGGTATCTTTCGGTTCTTCCTTTGGTTCATGAAGGGGTTCTGTTGCATCGGTGTCCATCCCTTTCGGTAGGTAGGAAGTGTCATCATCAGGGATGGTAATCAAAACATCAGACTCCCCCAACAAGAACTCCACATTACCTCTCTTGCGAAGACGTTTATCGATGGTACTACTACCAATGTCTCCAGTAAGTGGGGAGCCTACCCATGCTATTCGTCGCTTGGTAGTTGTCCGACCACCACCAATTCCCACCTCCTTCGCTGGTTCATCTTCAGAATTTGAAGGCGGATTATTGTCATGAGAATCACCCTCAACGAGGGTATCCATGAAAGTCGGATCAACATGAGGACCAGGCCCCTCGTCCCTGAAACCAGGGGTTTCACCAAGCTCCAAGAATTGATCAATGATAGCAGGCGGCGAAAGGGCCTCCAAAGAGGTACCTCACAGTACTGGAGATTGCCCTTATACTTTCCCCCAAACCGTCTCAAAGGACAAGATCCTCTCAAGACCTATATATATATATATATATATATATATATATATATATATATATATATATATATATATATATATATAGAGAGAGAGAGAGAGAGAGAGAGAGAGAGAGAGAGCGAGTGAGAGAGAGAGAGAGAGGGATAGAGAGAGAGAGAGAGAACCAATAATTGCATGAAAATATAAAACTTATTTTTCTAACAAATATTTTTCAAAACGAACACCAGGATACGTGTTTAAGGGACTTGTCTAAGCCACTCACTTCACAAAATTTGCAAAAATAAAACTTTTTAATCTGTATACATGTACTTTTACAACAAGAAATAAGCCCTTTAGTGACGGTCTCTATAACAATGATACTGGCCTTTAGAGGTGATATTAGATAATGTCGCCACTAAAGGTTATTGTTGTCGCTATAGATGTCATCACTAAAGGGCTTCCACCAGCGATCCTCTTGTGCCACATGCCATTTGATCGTGACCATATGTTGTTATATTGATCCACCAGTTGGGGTTTCATCTCATGGGAAGTAGTAACGGCGACACCAATTGTGATGACATGTCGCCGCTATTGATGGCGATCCGCGTGAATGTCATCGTGACCGTTCAATTATTTTTGGATCGGACGACCAACGTTCTGTGGTGCGTTTTTCCAATGTAGTAAACCAACAAAAACCACCTCTAACTATAGATTTCTTCTAGGCCTTCATTTTCCGGTGATTTCGCCGATTCCAGTGTTTTATGGTGAATTCCGAGTTTTCCCAGCAACAATAATCCTCCGGTAACGTGCATTTTCTCTTCCCTTTTCTCTTTTTCTTGTTTCTTACCAATATTTAACCCTAATTTTATTTTTTGGTGCTTTTAAGATAATCTCCGGTGGTGACCACCACCATAACACCACTGTTGTCACCATTTTCCGGTGACTGGTCGAATTTTCCGACGACAACTCTCATTTTCCGGCGACAACAGGTTCTTCTTTCTTTTTTCCGTTCTAAATGTATATGAAATGTATGTAAAATGTATATATTTTGGTATGTGAAATGTGTATATTTCGGTATGTGAAATCTACATGAAATGTATGAATATGTGTGTAAAAATGTATATGCAAATGTGTATGTGTGAATACGTATGAAAAATTATATATGTACGAAAATGTATATGTGAAATTGTGTGTATAAGTGTATTTCTATGTGAAATGTGTGTATATGTGTATATATTTGAAAAAAATGTATGTATATAAAATGTAGGCATTTTTATGTGAAAATGTAGGTGTTTGTATGTGAAATGTATATATGTATTTCTATATGAAATGTATTTGTATGTATGAAAAAATATATGTGAAGGAATATGTATAAGTGCATTTGTATGTGTGTATATTGTATGTTATGATAAAATATGTGTATATTGTATGTATATATATGTTATGATAGGATGTTATTATTGAAAAAAAAGATGTTATAATTTACAATGTCTTTTTAAAGTATTATACTATAATAAAAAAACAAAATAACTAAGATAATATAAATAAAAATAAATACGAAAATGTATAATGTCATAATAGAAAAATAAAAACAAAAATAAGTTGATATTAAAAATCAAAATATGGAAACAAAGATGGTATAAATAACAAATATATAATATCGTTTAAAGTACAATGCTATAATAAAAAATAAAAGTGAAAAATTAAGGCGCTAAATCTACTAAGTTATAATTTACTCCAAATAGAAAAATAAAACAAAAATAAGTTGATATTAAAAATTAAAATATGGAAAAAAGATGATATAAATAACAAATATATAATATCGTTTAAAGTACAATGCTATAATAACAAATAAAAATGAAAAATTAAGATGATAAATCTACTAAGTTATAATTTACTCAAAATCGAAAAATAAAAATAAAAATAAGTTGATATTAAAAATCAAAATATGGAAAAAAAATGATATAAATAACAAATATATACTATCGTTTAAAGTATAATGCTATAGTAAAAAATAAAATGTAAAATTAATACGGTAAATCTAATAAGTTATAAATAAAAAGTAAGGTTTTTTTTTAATTAGTTTAAGTCTCTTCATTTTAAATCATCAAAAGCCTAGAAATACCCACCCAAAATTGATTTAGAAATTAATTTTGTACTTGTCCCCGTTTTGGGACAACTTTTTGAATACATTATTTCATTTAGGATGTGAATGTGTATTACATAATTGATTGTTTAAGAAGTATAGGGTTGTTATTTTCTCTTTGCTCCTCGGGTATATAAGTTTATATATACTTAGGAGTTAAGGGAAAATGTTGCCGAATTTTTCTTAAACGGTTAATCATGTTATACACATTTGCATATGATGTAAGGTATTCAAAAACTAGGTTTAGAAGCCTACCCTTGTGAATACTCTTCCGTTGTCCGGTTTTCTATTCCATCTGATTGAGCGGTTAATCTATCCTTATAAATATTCAATATTAATTTTAGTTCTTGTAGAGTAAATATTAAAACCTAACTTATGTTTCAGTTGCAACATGTCTATTGATAAAACCTGGATTACTATTGAAAAACGTAACTTTACCTGGTTCCAATAAGGACTCGAATCTTTTCTCGAGAAGTCCAAACCACGCATTGATAACAAAAGTCAAATTAGATGCCCGTGTAACAAATGTAATGTCAATAAATTTATACTACTAGCCATAATGAAATTCCATATACTTCAACATGGTTTTAGTCTGCATTATACTATATGGAAGTATCACAACAAAAATACAATTCACCCGGTTGTCGAAGACATACCACGTAGTAACGAGATGGCCGATGTTATGGGGGGGGGGGGTGATTGAAAATGATACCAACCACGATGAAGGGAATCCGGATACAGACGGTAGCAGTGTCGATGATGGATTTCAAAAGTTGTTAGAGGAAGTACAGTTAAAATTATATCCTGGATATTCGTTTTCGTCCCTTGACTTTTTCGCAAATTTGATGCATATCAAGGTGATCAACAAATGGACTGATAGTTCATTCGATCAGCTTCTTGATTTGTTGCAAACTACATATCCTTGAGGAAATACCCCCCCCCCCCCCCCCGGGTCACATTATGAAACAAAAAAATACACTTGAAAAGATCAACTTGGGTTATAAGTTGATACACATATGTAAAAACGACTTCTTTCTTTTCTGGAAAGAACACAAGTTATTGCAAAAGTTTCTAGTTTGTTATGAGATTCTGTGCGTTGATGAAAATACAAAGGGTAAGAAGGTGGCTCATAAGGTGGACATATGTTTCTAAAGCCAAAAGGGTTGGCGTGTTCCAATATCTTTCGGTAAATTATTCATAACATATATATTTAATATGTTTAATTTTTATTTATTTTTAATTTCTCTATATTTTTGTAGACATGGTTTGATTTTGGAGCGATTACAAATGATCCCATGCCTCCAGTTTATTGGGCGTCACTAAACAATCAGATATGTATGCGGTATAGAGGTCGCAAAAATATTGCAAAAACTCGTTTGACTGGTTTTGAAGGGGATGTGGAGGCAACAAGGGCTCAAGCCCATGTGGGTATGGATCTACATCGTTGGAGTGATGCTATTGACCACTTCTTAACAGAAAAACATAAAAAACGATCCGCTGGAAACAAAGAATGTCGGAAGAAGCAAGTAGTTAAGAATCATGGAGGGACATGTAACTACGATAATGCTTGTTTTAAGAACGTAAGTTACAATAATGCTTATTTAGTTATAACATATTTTTTAATGTTTAATAAAGTTTAACATATTTTGTAATGTTAAACAAAGTTTAAATATAGTTGAAGCATTTCATCATGGGCATGTGAATAAAAAAGGGAATTCGTCGATCAATTGGTTGCAGACCAATATGTAAGTTATTGTTACTTCAAAAATGAAGTATATTGTTTTGTGTGTGTGTGTGTTAGTTTTAACGTATATTGACAATCTTTGTGAAATACAAAATGCCTTAGTTGTTGTGGTTGCACTACAGACTCATCACATAACCGACTCCAGTGGTGATACAGACACCATTGATTGGATTACAATACTTGAGAAGGTGTTGGATACTCAAAGGGGGCATGTGAGAGACATTGGACCTAAACATTTTTCATCAGCGGGTACAAGTGTTACATCCTAGTGCCAGTACAGTCACAAGCACCACAACCAACACATGTACTTATTAAATTCCTAAAGAATTTGGTATCTTTGCTCTATTGTTAACAACTTGATGCATTTATAGTAATTTTTGGTAGTTTGTTAAAATGTTAAAAACTTAATTGATTTGATGGTTAAATATTTTTTTAAATTGTTATCGACTTAATTCATTAGGTGGTTTGATGGTTTGATAGTTTGTTAAATTGTTAATGACTTAATGTGATTGTGACTTAATTGTAAGATGTTAATGTGAATGCTTTTCTTCAAAACCCGGCGTTTGTGACGGCCATTGGAAACATTATCCGTTCGTTTAAAAACCAAGTCAACAACGATGAGGATGATGCAGACACATAGTATTTATTGTTTTATATTATGGTTGATGTTATTTTGGATTTATTAGATAATTTATGGATGATATATTTTATTTAGGATTTATTAGATAGTTTATGTAATGTGATATATTTGATGTTTTATGTAATGTGATATGTATTTTTATTAAAGCTGCATTTTATAATATATACAAACTAATATCATAAATAAATAGTTAAAAAAAAACCATTAGCAGCGACACATTTAGGGACGTCATTAACCAATTGCGACGACAACTAATTCTGGGAAGAGTAGTCAGACCCATGGTCGGAAAGGTAATAAAGACGACAATAAAGATGATAGTGACCATGTAGCGGCGACGAGTATTAGAGACGATGCTATTTGCGACGGCAAATGAGTATTAGCTATGAGCTAATAACGACAACCCTTTATCAACGACATGTCGTCACTAACACCCCGTTCCCGAGTTCAATTTAAGGAGAGGAAAGAAAGGAAATGGGTGGAAGTGAGAGGAAAGTAAGAGAAATTGGTGTTCCCGAGTTTCATTAAAGGAGGGAAGTGGAAGGAAATGGAGGGATCACTTTCCCTCCTAACTTTCCTTCCGATTTGGAAGGATTTGGAGAGAAAGAACAAAATGTTTAACTTTCATTCCATTTCTCTCCAACTCGGGAACACAAAAGACAAATTTCTTTTCCATTCTCTTCTCTTCTTTTCTCTCCTTACTTTCTTTTCTCTTCTCTTCTTTTCCTTGCTACAACTCGGGAACGGGGTGTAAAGGTATAGCGACGACAAGTGGCATCAATTGCGATGTTTTTTGTTGTCGCTAAAAGGTATGTTTTTTGTTGTGTTTCAATTGTTCATATATACATATTTATCTTTTTGGTTTCTTTTTTATGTTTTTCGAACTTTTTGGATCTTTGATTGGCCTATAAAAGGTGTCATGGTGGTGTTTTGAGTGAAAAGTTTTCGCTACAAGAATGATTTTCATATTCTCAATTAAATATTGGTTTTTAAAAGAACTTATCTTTATGCATGTATGTATGTATGTATGCATGCATGCTAGATACAAGCAAGACCGACTCTATCATTTGCAAAATTAAGCAAGGGTTTACGGACCCAAATTCTAAAGGACCCTCAATTTTAAAGCTTATTGTGTTATATATGTATATATACATATTTCTTGGGATGTAAAGACAAGTTGAAACTTGGTTTGGTGGTTAAAGAAATGATTTATAAACTAAAGATCTTAAGTTCTAAACTGTTTGCTTATTTGAAGGGCCCCAAATTTTTTGTTTGCTTAGAGACTCTAAATTGGTTGAACCGCCCATGGATATAGAATGTAGAAAATGATTTGCTTTTGGTTAGCATTTTTTCTATGAAGATGTCATAGTTCTAAAGAAGATGCAATCTCCCCATTCTCGCACAAAGAAAATGTAATGCGTAGTTTCCTTTCGGGAACATGTGCCAAAGAACGTACAATACATCAGTTGATCAAAAGTGCAAAAACTGAAAGAGGATTCTTTGTCTGTTAGATGTATATTTCATCTATTGAATATATTGTGTTTATTGAATGTTTGTTTTAATCGGTTGGTTCTATTATGCAAAAAGTAGTGCAATCCTTTCTTGCAATGAGTAAAGCGGATCATAATTTTTATTGTAAGCATATATTATTAGTTTAATGCAATTGACATGAATTTTGGGACGGGTTGATATGTACGTTGGTTCGGTTTAATATATATATATATATATATATATATATATATATATATATATATATATATATATATATATATATATATATATATATATATATATATATAAAAGTTAAGCCGGTATGGTATAAATAGGTTGTGACATTAATCTATTTATAATAATTATATTTAAAGCTTGGTTTTTCAATCCTCAACTCATATGATTATGAAGATTGTTTTATCGTATGATTTAATGCTTTGGATATGTGCATGGGATGGGTGGGAAAGGGATTATATAAGGGAGGGATGACACTTCAACAATTATAGTGCTTGCTGAGTTATATAGGTGATGGTCCATAACTATAAACTAATAATACCAATGTAGGCGGGAGATGGAGTGTGGGTTTCATCTTATTGCTTGTTGACAATGATTTTGGTGGTGTGCAAGCAATAGGACAGTGCTTGTTGAATTATAATCTTTGTTCATACTAGATGTAAATACCAAGTATAAGGGAGTTTTTGGCTTAATTGATCAGCTTATCAATGTTATTATTAAGCTGTTAAGTTTAAATTGTTCTAATTTAGCTCTTATAACTAGGGCTGTAAACAAACTGAACGTTCGGCGAACCGTTCGTGAACTGTTCGGCGGGAAGTTCGTTTATGTTCGTTTATTTAATAAATGAACGAACATGAACAAAAATTATCGTTCGTTTAGTTAAACGAACGAACATGAACAATGGTCTCGTTCGTTCATTTATGTTCGTGAACGTTCGTTTATGATGTTTGTTTATGTTCGTTTAAGTTTATTTATATTCATCTATATTCAATTATTTTTTATTATATTGATATATTATATGTTCGTTTATGTTCATATATGTTCAACTGTTTTTTTTTTTTTTATTTTTTTTATTTTTTTTATTTTTTATCTTTGTTCGTTTAGCATGTTCACGAACATAAACGAACGAACATGAACAAAGTAATTTGTTAAACGAACGAACATGAACAAGAAAATCTCGTTCGTTTATCCGTTCGTGTTCGTTTGTTGTTCGGCTAACTTAAACGAACGAACATGAACAAGACCTTGTTCATGTTCGTTTGGTTCGTTTACAGCCCTACTTATAACTATCTTTTTCTTCACTTAGCCATTATGACTAGCAATATAAGCTTTTGTAGGTCACAAGTTACTCCGTTTATAACAACATTATCATTTAACAATCTTTTCCTTTATAATTTTATAAAAGAATTACAATTTCATACTATTTTAATAAAAGTTTTTAAAAGGAAATATTTATAAATATTTAAAACCTTTTATTTATTTATTTTTTATAGTTACATACATTTTTTTACTAACTTTCTTATAACCTTTTTCTACAACACCTTTTACAATGCTTTCTAAACTTTGTAATAATTTTTTGAGTTTATTTTTTACTAAGTTTTGTATATTTACTAACAAAACGGATATCAACTTGTTTTACAAATTTTTAATATAATTTTTTTAAACTTGGTTTATAATTTATTTATTTTACATTTTTTCTTTTTTTTTTTTTTTTTTTTTAAACAACACGGATTCTATTGAAACATATTTCTATGAATTTTAAGATATTTTTCTTCTAAGTTTTTTAAAACATTTCTCTCTCTCTCTCTCTCTCTCTATATATATATATATATATATATATATATATATATATATATATATATATATATATATATATATATATATATATAAACACAATTCTCAACCTTTATTATTTTCTTGATTGAACTTACATCTCTCTCTCTTTCTCTCTCTCTCTCTCTCTCTCTCTCGGTCTATATATATATATATATATATATATATATATATATACACACACACACACTGTAGAACCTCTATAATTTAATACTCAATAAATTAATAACCTCGATAAAATTAATAAGTTTTTCGATTCCAACTTGGGACCAGTACAAAATTCGACTCTAATCAATAAAACAATATAATGATATTTTTTTGAAATCCCAATGTAAATAAATCAGCGAAACTATAAGTTAATAATTACTAAAATATTTCAAAATTCTAGAATTGTCTAGTAAAAAGTGAATCTATAGTCACTTGTGTTTTTTGGGAACTTCAAATCTATATTAAGTTTATCTTTAAATCTTTCAATTGCACTTAAGAGTTGAGGCATTGTATTCTCGTATTGCAGCAAAAATTTGTGAAGAGTTGTTTCTGCTTGCAATGCTTATTTGCAAGTAACCGGTTCCAAAGGTACTGAATTATCATCAACTTCATCATCAACCGAATTTTGAACGGTATTTGCGATAATTTCTTCAATGCTTTGAACCTCATAACATTTATTATTTTCACCTGGATAATCCAACAACTCATTCACATCCATTTTGCACTGATAATGCATTCTCGTAATCAAGTTCTCAAGCTCACACATGTCTTCTCCAAAATTTACATCGTTTAAATCATTTGAGCCGATTGGATTAGCCGAACAAATTTTACAGTGTCGAAAGCCATTTGCTATGGACTCTTGTTTCACATTTCTCCAAGTCGAGACGAAGTTGATGACATCGAAAATATTAATCTTTTATGGGGAATAAATTTCCAATTCATAACCTTCCAAAATCTTACGATAAAACCTTTTACGGTAGTACATTTTAAAGGCTCTAATTATCCTAGCATCACATGGTTGAATTTTTGAAGTCATGTTTGGTGGTTGAAAAACAACTCGATGTTTTCCAACCCTTGAATATTTTTTTAATGGGCTAGACAATACCAAGAGAATTTTTCAATCGTGCATTTGATCATCTAGCAAACGAACATATTCTTCGAAAAGCAACCCAATCATGCATGCTCTTTTGTTGGCACGATATTCACAATCTAGGCTATTCAAGTTGACATTCTTAAAACAACATGGCTTTGCATACTTACCAATGATCCATAGATTAATTTTTTCCAAGCCATCCACATTGCAACAGATAACAATTTTAAGTCTTTCCTTTTCCTGTTTCCTACCTTCAAGTTGTTTTGTTGCAAGTGAATGGTCAACTTGTAACCTGTAAAACAACTTAGTTTCATCCATATTAAAAATATCTTTCATTGGAAATTGATTAATTTTTTCCCTTATACACTCCAATTTATTTTCTATGTCATGTGGGTCGACTGAGCTATTTTCTCCGAATCAGCGATACAATTTGATACCATGCCTTAACTTGAATTTTTCAACCCAGCCCTATGAAAGATTATGCTCAGAAGAATCTTGTTGATACAAAAGCTTCAATGTCTTAACCACATTCTCTATGATTAAATCTCGTGTTATATTCACACGCTCTTGATGTTGGAGAAATCATTTATAAACAACTTTCTCCATGTACGGATAGTTGGTTGCTTTGTGATGCTTGGAAGACCCATCTTTGTCAAAGTTAGCTGATATGAACTCAGATAATCTCTTAAGAGTGTTTGATATTGTTCCTTGAATAACTTTTAAATCGAAAGTTTTGTCAACCCACTTCACCAAATCTTGTTGACTGCATCCTTGGTGATCTCTGTGATACTTGCATAATATCTTTCGTTATTGATTGGTCATAAATAATTTTTTAACACCTTTTAATTTCGAAACCATAGTTGATGTGATTTTAAAATTTATCATTAGATATTTTATAGTTATCAATCTTGATCTATGTACATTGAACTTGACAAGTTCATTAATATTTGTTACATGAGAATGTTTAAGGTCCTTGTTTTTGTTTTAATTAAATAGGTAAAGTGAACCGACATGAAAATTTTGAAGGTCGATGCATTAATTTGAGAGTTGCTCACGAATATAAGCTAACGCTTTAAATTAACACTACTAGAAAAACAGTCTTTTACGGCGCTCATTGTGCATTGTAAAAGGCTCAGACGACGCGCAAATGCGCGTCAAGGAAGGCCCTGTCATAAAGAGAGACGACGCGCATTTACGACGTGCGTTTACGACACGCAATGCGTATCAAGGAAGGCCCTGTCATAAAGGAAGACGACACGCATTTGCGTGTCGTAACCTTACGACACGCGTGTTAATGACACGCAATGCGTATCAAGAAATCCCCTGTCAAGAAAGGCCATGTCATAAATGAATATGACACACATTTTTGCGTATCATAATTTTAACTGTTTAAAAATAATATATTGTTTATAGATTTACTAATCTTCAAATTAAATTTGTATTTAATGTCTCATAATAGAAAATAAAATATCATATACAAAAAATACAATCCATTGAATAAAATTTAATGTCATACAAATAAACGTTCCATGAAAGATAAAACAAATCAATAGTTATAACAAAAATTTACAAACTAATTAGATACAAGAAATATAAAAAAATATACCCTCAAATGCTTTTCAAAGTCTAATCTCCATGTCAGCTCTTCAACTCACTTCTCCAGTTTGTCCATAAGTTCTCTAAGGGCTCCAACATCTCTTGCAGTTTCAAAGGCACAAAGAAGAACAAAACGTGCTATTATTTTGCCACCTAGATGTTCTCCAGCATCTCTTGCAGTTTCAAAGGCACAAAGAAGAACAAAACCCCTCTTACCATTCTCTAATTAATTTTCGGTTTTATGTTATTGACGGCTGGCATCCTAGGGAAAGTTCTAGTGTTTATATCTGCCATTCTCTAATCAATTTTCGGTTTTATGTTATGGGATTGGGAGTCGTGTTAGTGTTAGTGTTGTTGTTGTTGTTGCTGCTGTTAGGAGCACCATCAGATGTGTTGTTGTTGTTGTTGGCTCCTTGCACCCATGCTTGGATTGGAGTGCTTGCTGTAGAACTTGCACTGCCATTTTGAGCAGCTGAAAAATGAAACAAAGTAAATGAAATATCTCACCATTTTCCCATAGTATAAATAATTAATTATAGGGTTAAACACAACAAAGTACAAGGATTTAATAGAATGAGATAAAATAGGATGCTATAATACACGTTTAAAAGAAAGTATGTTGTTGTTTCTTGCATTCAATAATAAATAATAAGTGTAGTAAATTATCGACCATGGAGATTGTTTTTCCAGCATGACCAAAATGACCTCGAGCTATTTCCTAGCATCTTCTTCAGGGTGAGAGCTTAACCGAGCAAATAGTTGAGGAGTTACTTCCTGCAGAAAGGAAAAAAATTACTAGTTAGAACATAACTGATTAGGTTACTGTGATAGAAAACTGGCGAGAGGGGTCCCATCCACCTACCATGGCAACAAAGGAACTGTTGAAAGTGCAGGTTCAAGGGGCAAAGTCGTACATTACTATTTCTTGACAGCAAAAGTACATTACTATTTCACAAGTGTGGCATAATGTAGGTTTCAATCTCTTGATGTCTATTACTGCATGCTTCAATGATTCTACATTTTATTTGTTTCTTCAGAAATAGTCATGATGAAAGTAGAGAGGCCTGAAAGTTAAAGGAGATAATTGCCAAACCTAGTCATTACAATATCTTTATTAAGTAAATATACAATTATTTTAGTGTACAAACTATAATTTATAGTAATATTAACATGATCAATAAACATTTTAATGATGTAAATAAAAGCGACATAAATTCAAACGAAGCAAATACAGTGGAATTGGAGCCACCACAATCGAACCGAGACAACCAAATATTAGCATGCAGAAAGTAATTCTATAATCTTTGAAACAGGAAGAAAAAAACATGTTTTCCCATTGATTGAATAGAAACATTTGTTGTTATTTCTATTCATGTTGTCATGGGTGATTACCTAATAATTTTTTAAGAGACAAAGTCATTTGTAGCAAATGAGTCCCCAATAATAGGGCATTTTCCGTAATCCGTGTTAAAAAAAAGAATAAAGAATATGAAACAATAAACATATGTAACATACTCCTTTCCTAACGCGAAACCTAACATTTAAAAAAAAAAATTGATACACAATCTTCGTCGCCCGACTTCCTTAATCCTGCATAGTATTATAAGTTTTCCCTTTAAAGTCCTCACATTTTTACAAATGTTCCCTTATTTATTTATGGGTGAAATGTTACTTTTATTTCTTTTAATAACGTTGGCATCCAATTACAAACTATGAAGCATTTTCCTTAATACGAAAATAGAAATGCATATATTAAGGAAAACTATTAACAAATTATATATAAAAAAAGTAATAAAGTGATGACTACTACCCCTTAGTAATAGAATGCAACAACAATAAAGTTTTGCTACTTTATAAGCTCCTGATATAGAGGTCGCCTCATTAGATATATCCCACTGGAACATGAAGAGCAAGAGTTGACTTTCCTGAAGCTTCTTTTTTTGCAAAAAGCAAGAAATCAACAGTAAATGTTCCAAAACATGCTTTTATAGAAATTTGAGAAATCGGGAAAAAAAAAACCGGGAATGAAGAGAGAAATAGAAATATTAAGATAACTTACAGATAGATGAGTGAGGCAAAGAATATGAGTAGGACAAGCCTTTTCCCTGAGCCATCTTGAATGAACAGGAAAATAACAGTTACGATAGTTGCTCTTGTTGTTGCTGCCCCTACCCCTGTCCCTGCCCGACCTCCTCACCCCCTGTCCCACCTTTAGTAGGACTCTGTCCCCTGCTACATTTACACACAAATCAGCACATTTACACACAAAACAATTTGAGAACTACATATATCATACTTTCAATGTTTGTAAGATTCGAATCCAAGTTACTATTTTGGTTTTTTGATTTTTTTTGCCGTTTTTATAAGTTGTTGTGTAGTGATCTCATTCGAAACAAAAACCGCTCATTCTAAGGGACAATAGGAACTGGAACATACTTTATACACACAAAAATAATCATGGAATGCACAGCTGGAAAATGGTAGGTGTTCTAACGGTTCCAAGGTTGCATCCTAACTGGCGTACCTGTGCATTTCATTTGTAACAGTAATATGATTAATTACTGTGGAAATGGTTGCTTAAATCAAGAATCTTGACACTGACTTGCAAATTTTAGTTTTTGGACTCAGGCTAACGCTTTGTTCAGAAAAAAATTGACCTTTCTGGTTTACCTTTTTTATTTTATTTTATTTTTTTAAAGTTTATGCATTTTGATCTCATGTCGTTACAAATGCTTGTTTTAAAAGCTTGTTATTCCATTTTTCTACAAACCAAAGAAAGAATTTCAAGGCAAATGTCAGACTCATATTATTCCCAGTGTTCCTCTGTTTGTTACTTGTAGCACAATAACATTTAGTGAACATTGAACTAGATAAACCCTCTTTAAAACTATAATTACTGACATTCGAATTCATTCTTGTAGGTAGAGTTGTACCGTAGTATCACATTATAATTACTGACATTCGAATTCATGAAATCATAGCCTGTGGAAATGTTTGAATATAAAAATAAAATTAATTAAAGCTTAGATCATTTACTTAGTAAGCAGATAAACAATGTGTGGATCCACCAACCTGCTAATATCTCATTTATTTTCTTCTCCGAGTTTCCCTTCTTGTATCCCGCATACAGCTCATTGTTAATATCAGAAGACCTGTCGCGCCATAAATGTTAACCTTGGACACATCTAATTTCTACATTAAAAATACAAGATCAGTTAGAAAATAAGTTGTTAGGAACAAACCATTTTTGTCTCTTGTTCATAATCTAATCTACTAGAAATACAAGTATCGTTAGGATTCAACACACACATCAAAAATAAGATGCGAACAAAAGAAAGAACTCACACCAATTAACGCCATCGAAATAATTCATACCTTTCTCCACTTTCGTGGACCCCACTGGGACTGAAATAGAAAAGGTGGAGTTAGCTTGACATTGAGATTGCACATAGTAGACTGGAAGACTCGAGAAGAAAGTAGGTTCAAGAATGTTGGATACCGGAGTCTTCGAAGCTGACCGCTAATATGTTCCAAAGAAATCACAAATTCTTAATATAATATTCATTACATACATATGAATGATTGTGCTTGCAATATGTGATGATAAGTAGTAACTAACCAATACAACATCAGCCAAACCATTGCATGAACCTGGGAACATATTTCGAGCCAATTCTATCAAATTAATATACATCAGTAGAAATTTATATTGATCAGGATGTATATACAAAACATTGACATGATTAAGGGTATGCAAGAGATAGAGTCAACATACTCTCTCCAAGGGATTGGTTATTACTAGTAATAAGTACAGTTGTAGGGCAGGAACCTTTACTTGTGTAGGAGTCATTAGGCAAATCTCCAAATGAAAGAAAATGATCACTTCTCACTGCTCGAAACTGTGGAGCTGGTACTTGTAATAATGGAGGCCATTCAGGTGGACTAGGAATGGAACACGTACCCACTTGGTCCAAATCTAAGTATTCAATCCCACACACTCTCTCGCATTCACCATCACCATCTTGATCAATAAAAGTGCAACCACATTCTAAAGAGTGTTTATCCAGTTCAATGTTCACTAAATGTTGTAGTGCTACAAGTAACCAATAGAGGAACACTGGGAATAATATGAGCCTGACATTTGTCTTGAAATTCCTTCTCGGGTTTGAAGAAAAATGGAATAACAAGCTTTTAAAACAAGCATTTGTAACGACATGAGATCAAAATGCATAAACTTTTAAAAAATAAAAAAGGTAAACCTGAAAGGTCAAATTTTTTCTGAACAAAGCGTTAGCCTGAGTCTCTGAAGGAGGTGCTCAAAAATTTGGTGTCTAGAGTTAAGGGACAATTTAATTTCATAAAATTTGGTGTCTAGGGTTAAGTGCCAACTTGATATAAATATCTTCCAAAAACAAAGCAATTTGGTATCTTTGTAAATACAATCTTGAAAAAAAAACATCATATTTTGATATTTTGATGTTGTAATGTTTTTGGTTGCATACAACTGACATTTAGAACTACCAAACGGATACAATTATACTGCAAACGGAAAACACAATTTGGTCTTCTTAATGCCTGGAATCAAGAAATTCTCAAGAAGATTAATCAAAGGTGAAACATACATGGTTCGGTTACAGATGTTTTAAACAGAGTCGCTTCATACCCACATATTCTCGAAATTGATGAGGAAAATGGAGAAATTGAAATGAAATTATACGAAGAAGAAGAGGATTTGTTACCTTTAACCTTGTGCCCCGAGTCTCAGCAAGCTTTTATTCAACTTTACAGTCGTTGATACGAGTGTAACTGGAAAGATTGTGAACGTGAGAGAAATCGAACCCCGAGATTTGGATTCGGTTACAGATGTTTTAAATAGAGTTGCTTCACACCCACATTCAAGATTCGTGAAAATCTAGGGCACACGAGGCTACATGTCACCTGAATTTCAGTCTACCGGAGTTCCGACACATAAGTCCGACTTGTACGCTTTCGGAGTTGTACTTCTTGAGATATTGTCAAGCGAAGAAGGCAAGTGAGGAACGAAGGAAGGAGTGTCGATAACTAGGCAAGGCGGCAGTCGAATGTATGGAGGGGGAAGAGAGGATCGTAATTAGGGCAAGAAGGAAAGTGGAGGATAAAAAAGAAGGCGGGTGTTCAAAATTTTAGGGATTTCATTTCCCCCTGTCTATTAAACGCGCTTTTCATTAAAATTATAAAGCGACACTTATAGAGGACGCCCATTTAAGATACAGCGCCCTTCGTGTTTTTAATTTTTTCTCGTATGACGCTAATTTAAGGGCACGCAATAATGCGTCACCTAAATCCCTAAATTTTTTGAAGAGATGACACTTTTTTAACGTTACTCTCTTTTGCGTAACATAAATCAAGGAGTGTCGTGGTTTGCGCGTCGTAAAAGGCTATTTTTCTTGTAGTGTAATAATTTATTAATTCCTCGATACATATATATATATATATATATATATATATATATATATATATATATATATATTTCAATTCTATTTGTGCTATTCATATTTGATTATCCATTAATCGTATATGAAAAAAATCTCAAGACCTTTATTTTTAAAATTTCAAAGGAACCTCTCTCTCTCTTTCTCCCTCTCTCTTTCTGTGTGTGTGTGTATGTATTAATATATATATATATATATATATATATATATAGAGAGAGAGAGAGAGAGAGCGAGTGAGAGATAGTTATTTTCACATATAACCATTAAGTATAGTGTGAGTGTGTGGTGAATTCTGGATCAATCGTTTGAAAAGGGTATAATAGGAATTTTAACTATGCTTAATTATTGTAAAAAAAATTAAATCAATTAATATCCATCATCATCTTCATCTCTCTCTATTTATCAACTTTAGACCATCAATCCAGCATGCCTAATTTCTATCTGCTACCACCACTTAACCGACACCCTATAAAACCAACACCATCATCGCAGCCTCTTGCATCAGCCTTTAACATTTATTTTCATCCAATTTCGTTACCATACAACCCAATTTCTCATTATATGTTTGCATTATGATGTAGAGGGGACGACTCTATCCTAAAGAAGGCAAAAAAAAATGAAAGAAGAAGATATCACGCTGAGCGAAGATGAGAGGTGATGAAAGAAAAAAAAAAGAGATCAAACTCAATGTAGAAATATATGTTGGGAATGTTATTCCACTTGGTAATTTGCCGTTCGTCTATTTAAGTGTTTTTTTCCGTCCTCACAATCTAAAATGTTTCAAATTTTTTTTTTTACCAATTACTGGGTTCAATAAGTTACTATGTTAGAGTTATTTTTTTTATTCCTTATTTTTTCTACACCAATCATGGAAGAGGACCATGATAATAGCATTTAACAAATGAATTTTATTTGAATACACTCCAACTAATTGTGAAAATTTCAAGATAAGATAAGTATATTGTCGCTGATACATCTCTTTTGTGGTGATTTTCATTTACCTTGCTCTCGGTCAATCAAAAGTGGTCCTTACGCCTTGTGTACCTGCGGTGTATGCAGGGCATAAGCCCTTAATGAATGACGCGTGTGTTTATAAGTACAAGGGCATACTAAATAGGTATGCAGGGCGTACTTGACAGATATGCAAACCCTAAATCCAAGGTTTTGAGCCCTATTTAAGAAACTTAACCCTCATAAACCCCTTCCACCTTCAACCTCTGTCCTCCCAAACGATCCCTTACAAATTCTAATATTCATTTGAGAGTTTTTGAGCTTTTGGAGTGTCACGTGTTCACCTTCGAAGGAAGAAGATCATTAGACTGCACTTGGAAAGCTTTAAGCAGTGTAGATCCAGGATTTACACATTTCAAGCAACCTCATGAAAGAACAAAGTTCTGAACTTGGTGAATGCTCCACTAGATCTTGTTAGTTGTTATGTTTTCTGCATTTTGATCCCTTAATATTGGTCTAGTTGAGTATGAGCTACTCCAGACCTTAAGAATATCCTTTTCAAATGTTTTGAAGTGCATGGAGTCATAAAAATGTGATCTTGATCCTTTCCTTTCATCCATGCATGAGTATTGGGGCTTAGAGTCTTCTGATATCTTAGGGTTTTTAGATTTGGACACTTTATAGTCATGCAAAGTCATAAAGTTGGAAACTTTATGATTTAAGTGGTTATTTATTGTTAAATATGATACTTGGATGAGCGCACTTAAAGGAATAAAAGCTTAATGAGGAAAGTAGAGTATGATCGAGTATACAAGGCGTACCTAGTAGTATGCTTGGTGTACTAGGATGGAGCCTCGTAATGTAGGGTGGAATCCTCTACACCTAGAGATGGAGTATGTAGGGTGTACTCATCCTGGTTGAGATTTTGACTTTTGACTCTTGAACTTTGATTATGGACTTGACCAATTTTGACTTAAGGGCATTGTGGGAAATTTAAATACTAGTTTGAGATTGGGTCCCAAATATTTGTATAGGTGGTCTGTAGAGACAATATTTGGAGTAGTGATCTGTTCAACTATTTTTCAGGCTGTGGGTGAGTCTCTTCATTGTACTTGTAGGCCGAAGGCACCAATATCCTAGCTAATATTACTGTATGCTTAAATGTAGGGGGTAATAGACCCTTTTTAGTTGAAATATACCGACAGAATCGGAAGGGACTTAGTGAGTCAGAAGGGACTCAATGGTGAAATAGACTCGTTATAGCTTTAGGCTAACATGTATGTATGATGTGTATGTATGGTATGTAGTATTGAGGAGAACTCATTAAGATTTGTGATTACAATTTATGTTTAAATGTTTTTCAGGTACTTCCGGTTCAAAAGGGAAGGGACCAGCATGATCTCATCGCATCCACCCATGTTTAGCATTTTATCATTTTGGGATTGTTCTCTGATAACTATTTTTCCTTATTTCATACTTTTGATAGTTTGAAATGAATGATTGATGGTTTTGGTTGAGTTAAAAACAAAACTTTTTACTTAGTACCTTTAGGATGTTACAAGTTGGTATCAGAGCCTTGGTTTGAGGGATTCAGGCATATTTTTGGGCGTGTCTAAACTCAAACTGGGGAATTACTAAATAGAAAACTATTTTCTAAAAGGATTTTTATAAAATGGGGTGTGATAAGTGCAATCGGTCGAACTCAAGTAAGTATTCTCAAAATACCCATACATGTTTATTTCAATTAGTATGTATATATGTGAATAGCATGCGAGATTAGGGCTGAGAATCTGCTCAAAACTATATATTAGGAGAGATGTATTTTTATGCTTACTATATGAGCCTCTAGATTTGCTTGCTAGTATGGACTATATATGATATGTTAGGATTGCATGTTAGGCAGTGCTCTAGTTAGAACTTGATGCTTGAATACCTTCTTGTTGTTTTTAGGAACCACTGTTAATACTAGTTAACTATCAAGTGAATATGCTAGGTTATGTGTTATAAAAATTATATAATTTTAGAAGGTTAGGTTTACCTCTATTATGTAGGTCTTGTTTGAGTCGAACCGTTGATGTGTAAGACCTAGCAATCGAAGTGTAACATACATAAAAATCATGCCAAATTTAAACTTTTTAAAACGTTTCAAAACTAATCATTACTACAAAACTTGTTTTCAAAATAGTATAAGGTCAGAGTATCCCAAAATCAAATCATAAAACATAAGGAGGTGTACGATCATGCCTTCACCTTCCCGCGATCATCAAAAGTACCTGAAACAAAATCAACAACTGTAAGACCGAAGCTTAGTGAGTTCCCCAAAATACCAATGCCATATAGATATAACCATATCATATAAACAACCTCATGCATAATGAGCAATCAGCCTGAGTGGACCGCCTCGCTAGGCCTAGCAATTGGGTTGGGTACGGTTTGGTGGGTCATGGGTTGGTGGGTCAGAAAACATAAACTCAACCCAACCCATATAAGATAGGGGTGATGGGTTGGTGGGTCACAAACCTCAACCCAACCCAACCCATAAAACCCGTTTAAGTATATGGGTTCGCGGGTTCACAAGTTAGTGGGTCAAACGCAACCCATATAACCCATTTAATAAATAAACAAAAAGTTTTAAAAACAAGGTTTTTTCAACAAAAATTCATAAAATGATTAAAGTAATTAACATAAAAAAAGGGTTTTCAATATAAATTCATAAAGT